CTGTCACAGGAGGCCCTGCCCCAGCAGCCGGGCAGCTCCCCAGCTTGGCTCTCATCCCTGGTGTCTCCACCTCAGAACCTGGCCAGCTCCCCGATTCAGGAGGCAGCTCGCCATGAATGAGCACAGCTCATTAGCGTGCCCAGCACATTTACTCGTCAAACAACCGCCTGGCCAGCCGCACACCCCCAAGCCCCCCTCTGCTTTTTCAATTTCCTCTCCCATGCCCCTCCCTCTCTTGGGTCTCCCTACCCCCTTCCTACAGCCGGACCACCTGCTCCCACTGCACGGGTGAGGAGGAGGCAGGTCTGGTGTATTGCTGCTGCCAGGAATACTCCACCAAGCCTGGCCCTACTCACCTGCTGCCAGCAGGGCAACCCCCTGGCAGGAAAACTTGGGGTTGAGTCTCCCCATCCCAGGGCATGTGTCCCCTTTGTGTCCTCTCAGCCACATGTGCCAGGAGTTGAGGACCACTTCCCACGTGTGACTCAGGGAGAGAGCGCCCTCCTTACAGCTTCTGCACAGGGTCCTCTCCCCCACCTCCACCAGCCCCTTCTGGAGTGCCAAGAATCAGGAGAGCCTGGGTGAGGCTGAGGAGTGCTGTGGAGTGGATTTCCAAACCACAAAAGGCAAAAGTGAGACAGGATGGCTGCTAAGTAGACATCTGATAAACACCACTTATTGAGTATCTGTGTACTACATGTGCTGTACTGGAACTCAGCAATCCAACAGGGGACAAGAATGGCCCCAGCCCTCAGTGGGCTCACCGTCCAGTGGGGGCACAGAAAGAGGAAACAGGAACACATAATCAGTTGGGTGTCAGTGAATGTGGAATTGCAGAGAACCCAGAGTGAGGGCACAGAGTGGGACTGGAAGGCTTCCTGGAAGAGGAGGCATTTAAGCTAAGTCTTGAAGGATAAATAGGCATTTGTTGGACAACTAAACAGGAAGAAAGCCTCTCTCAGCAATAAGAAGTACATGAGGCAAGTCACACAGACTGGGAGCAGCATTCTCAATGGCTGAGCTGGGGCTTGTCCAGCAAGGCTGGAGCGTGGCAGAGGGTATGGGTGGAGGTTACAGAAGTGATGAGGACACATCCCAGAGGCTCCGGTGCAGCCTTTCTCTGGCTTCACTGGGCTTTCGGCATCACCTGGCCTGGTCCTGTGCTCAAGCACGTCTATAAGTGCAAGTGCTTGGAAATGGACTGCCTCTGGAACCTGGTGCTTCCAGGGAGGGGACTTGGGAGGTGGCAAGGAGACAGTTGCAACAGATGCTTCTTTTCTACTGTTTGGGAGGGAGGGGCGGGTTGTTTGTTTTTTGAGAGAGTCATGCTGTGTTGCCCAGGCTGGAGTGCAGTGGCATAATCATAGCTCACTGCAGCCTCCAACTCCTGGGCTCAAGCAATCCTCTCGCCTCAGCCCCCTAAGTAGCTAGGACTATAGGCACACATCACTACACTTGGCTAATTTTTTTTTTTTTGTAGAGGTGGGTCTCCCAGTGTTGCCCAGGCTGGTCTCAAACTTCTGGGTTCAAGCTGTCCTCCCAACTCAGCCTCCCAAAGTGTTGGGATTACAGGCATGAGCCACCACACCCAGCCTTTGTTCAGATTTTTCACCCTCTGTACTATGAGCTAATTTCCCCCTACCAATACACTTTTACCTGCCTGGGGTGCTTATCACACACGCTTATTCCTGTGGCCCACCCCCGACCTTCCCAATCAGAATCTTCACTGTTAGCAAGCTGGGGATGGTGGGTAGAAGCAGTGCTAATTCTGATGCAGGTGATTCCAGAGACCGAGCTCTAAGAATCAAGGCCTGGTGTGCTGAGTTAGGAGTTTGAAATTAGACCTGAAAACTCTGGGAAGCCATTGAAGGAAGGGGCCTGGCAGGGACAACAGGTCTGAGGCCCACCTGCCTTCCTCCTCTCCAGGTTCCACACACCATTAGCAAGGATGAGGCATGGTAAAGAGAAGATGGTCAAGGGAGAGTGGCAGTGGCGTACAAGATGTCAGAGCTAGAAGGGATTATAAAATCATCACATCCAAACGCCAGTAAACAGAAGCCCAGAGAAGTGAAGCAACCAGCCTGACTTCACATGGCAAAGGAGTTACAGAGGTGGGCCATGAATGAGACCACACACCCGGGCAGAACACAGCATCCAATCCACCCTGGGCACTCCTCCTGACCCGGCCACCATAGGGGAACTACGAGAACAGGAGTCCCTGGGAAGTCTGTGCCAGCAGGACTGACAATATTTTAGCTTTAATCTCTAAACCCCTGGCCATGCTCAAATTTGGAGGAGGCTGAACCATTGGAGGCTCTCAGTGGCAAAGCCTACAGCAAGGAAAAGCTCCTAGACTAAAGGTCAAGTGACTTTTAAAGCCCAGAGGCCACCATAGGCATCCAAGACAACTCTGACCAATAGAAGCACTGGAAGCAAGAGAGAAGCAAAGTGAGTGCTGGGATGGGAGGAGAGGAGGAGAAGAAAGGGAGAAAGCAGGGAGACAGCTGCACTGACGCCAACCGTTGATCCATGCAGCAGACATCAATTGCATGCCAGCTGGGAGCCACGCACTGGAAACAGAAGAGATTTGTGCTTTGGGATCACTGGGCCTCTTGTATGTCGTTCATAGTTTTCATCAACTTAAAAAGTTTTCAACCATTATTTCTTCACTTTTGTTTTCTGTTCCCTCCTCTCTTTCCTCTTTGTTGGGGGCTCCATTTACACATATATCAGGCCATTTGAAGTTGTCTCATAGTGGATGGATGATGCCCTGTTCCTTTTTTCAGTCTTGTTTCTCTGTTTCATTTTAGTGAGTTTCTCCTGGTGGATTGTCCTGTTCATTATCTTTTCTTCTACAGTATCTAATCTACTGTTAATCCCATCTGGTACAATTTTTTTTTTTTTTTTTTTTTGAGACAGAGTCTCACTCTCTTGCTCAGGCTGGAGTGCAGTGGCACAATCTCAGCTCACTGCAACCTCCACCTCCTGGGTTCAAGTGATTCTCCTGCCTCAGCCTCCCAAGCGGTTGTGACTACAGGCATGTGCCATCACACTCAGCTAATGTTTGTATTTTAGTAAAGCTGGGGTTTCACCATGTTGGCCATACTTGTCTTGAACCCCTTACCTCAAGAGATCTGCCTGCCTCGGCCTCCCAAAGTGCTGGGATTACAGGCATGAGCCACCGCACCTGGCCCCACCCGGTGCAATGTTTATCTCAGACATTACTAATTCTATTATATGTATCATTTCTGGGTTTGAAATAATTGCTTTTCTTCTTCATTATGGGTCATACTTTCCTGCTACATAGTCCCCCAGATCTACACAGGGATACATTCAAGACCCCAAGTGGATACCTAAAACCAAGGATAGTACCAAACCCTGTTCTATTATGTTTTTCCTATACCTACATACCTTTGATAAAGTTTACTTTATAAATTAGGCACCGTAAGAAATTAACAACAATAATTAATAATAAAAATAGAATAATTATAACAATATACCATAATAAAAGTTATGTGAATGTAGTCTCTCTAGCTCCCTCTTATTGTACTATACCACAGATAACTAAAACCACAGGAAGTGAAAACATGGATAAAGGAGAGCTACAGTACTTTGTATCCTGCTAATTATAGATTTCATGCCAGACATTGTGGATTTTACCTTGTTGGGTGCTGGATATTCTTGTATTTTGAAAAAATATTCTTGAGCTTTGTGCTGGAACAGAGTCTAGTGACTTGGAGCCAGTTAGATCCTTTTGAGGCTTGCTTTTAAGCTTTCTTAGGCAGGACTAGGACTAGCCTATAGTCAAGGGCTGATTTCCCTGCGCTTCTGAACACTCTCCCCAGTGCCCTGTGAGTTAGGAGGTTTCTGCTCTGGTTGGTGGGAATGCCAGCTAATCACAACCTTGTGAAAACTCCAAGGGTTGTTCTGCCTGCTCCTTTTGGGTAGAACTTTCCCAGCTTCAGACAGTTTACACACAGGCACTGATCAGTTCTCAGCTGAAGCCTGGGGGAGGAGAGGGTGGCACAGCAGGAAGAACCATCTGCAGATCTCTAGCTACTCATCCCTCTGTGTAGCAATTTCCTCTCCTGTCTTCAGTGGGAACCCGAGCCACCTTGGCCTCCCCGGACCCTCAGCTCTGACTCCTCAATTCAGATTGATGCCGGGTTCCACCTGGGTCCTCCTCTTGCTCCATAGCCTGGAAACTCTCTCCAGGCTGTAAGCCAGGCAATTACAGGGCTTGTCCCACGTGTTTCACCTCTCTCAGAAATCGCTGCCCCACGATACCCATCATTTAGTGTATCATAACAGTTGTTTCCATTTTTTCTCTGGATTTTCAGTTGCTTAAGGCAGGAGGGGTAAAACTGTCCCATTATATCATCTTGTCCAGAAACAGAAATGTGGAAGAGACTTTTGACAATACTTCATGCCCTCAAAACATTTTCTGTGTAGACCAGGTATGGTGGCTCATGCCTGTAATCCCAGCACTTTAGGAGGCTGAGGCGGGCAGATCAGGAGGTCAGGAGTTCGAGACCAGCCTGGCCAATATGGTGAAACCCCGTCTCTACTAAAAATAGAAAAATTAGCTGGGCATAGTGGCATGCGCCTGTAGTCCCAGCTACTCAGGAGGCTAAGGCAGAAGAACCCAGGAGGCAGAGGTTGCAGTGAGCCAAGATTACACCACTGCACTCCAGCCTGGGCGATAGAGCAAGACTCCATCTCACATACATACATACACCTGTTCTGTGTGCTGGGAAAGACAGTCAAGCAAACAGATAATGACATGACCCTGACAAGTGCCCTGAAGCTGGCCAGAGAGGAAGGGACCTCAGGCACACGAGCTTCTCACAGTTTATGAAGCACATAACACTCTTGGTGCAGGCCAGTCCCTACGCTAGAATGGTCTTCCCATCGTAACGGCCCAGCTTGGCTCTCTGCACCCTTCAGGTCTCAGCTTAAGCGGCAACTCCTCAAGAAGCCTTTCTTCATGGTGGGTTAGGTCAGCACCTCTGCTCCCATCGAAGGGGACTGGGAAGCCATCCAGGGATTGAGGCCGAGGCATGACATAGGACCTATGTTCTCTCCTCTGTCTTCTGCCTCAGCCCCTGCTGCCTCCCATGGGAGGTGGGAAGGAGGGACCCTGTTTGGAAGCCTGTCATATACCCAAACCTTCTCTACCACACACCCTTCTCCATCTGAGTCAGGCTTCAGTTCTCCAAAGTCCAAGAAGGTGACAAAAATGTGGCATCAGGGAGCTCATTAATTCGTCTGCATCTTGGGGGCCTCATCTGTAAAGAATAATCCTACCAACTAACAAACACTCCCATTGTACCTACAAATTCCAGGCACTCATATTGCCCCAAGACCTTTACCTACTAAATCATTTAATATGCCCAGAAACTTAGAAGGAACTGGAAGCACAAAGACATTTAGTCGCTCACTCAAGGTCACACAGCACATAGGTGGCAGAGCTGAGATGTAAAATATGCATTTATTTAATATCTACCTCCTGGGACCAGTGTGGGGATTGAATGGATAATACATATGAAAGTACCTTATGGGCTGAGCATGGTGGCTCACGCTTATAATCCCAGCACATTGGGAGGCCAAGGCAGGCAGACCACTTGAGCTTAGGAGTTCAAGACCAGCCTGGGCAACATGGCGAAACACTGTCTCTACAAAAAATACAAAATTAGCCAGGCATGGTGGCTTATGCCTGTGGTACCAGCTACAGCAAGTTGAGGTGGGAGAATCGCTTGAGCCCAAGAAGTCGAAGCTGCAGTGAGCTGTGATCGCACCACTGCATTCCAGCCTGGGCAACAGAGCAAGACCCTATCTCAAAAAAGTAAATATATAAATAATAATAAATTTGGTTGGGTGTGATGTCTCACACCTGTAATCCCAACACTTTGGGAGGCCAAGGCAGGCAGATTACCTGAGATCAGGAGTTCAAGACCAGCCTGGCCAACATGGTGAAACCTTGTTCTCTACTAAAAATACAAAATCAGCTCGGCGTGGTGGCGCATGCCTATAATCCCAGCTATTTGGGAGGTTGAGGCAGGAGAATCACTTGAACCTGGGAGGCAGAGGTTGCAGTGAGCCAAGATTATACCATTGCACTCCAGCCTGGGCAACAAGAGCGAAACTCCGTCTCAAAAATAGTAACAATAATAAATTTTAAAATTGAAATAAGACAGTGCCTTATGCTGCATGTACAGGCATGTGGTTAGCGTGTTCATTTTTTTAAAAAGCCAAAAGTGGTCATAGTGATAATTTAGGGAACAGGCCTGTCTAGAGAAAGTTCCATTTGACAAACATTATGTACAAGTAATTTTAGAGGATTTCTTCTTTTTCCTTAGCTCCTTCTGCAAATGTGTGTGTTCTGGGTCTGCTTGTGTAACTGACATGAAACCCAGATATTCTTAGACCTTTCCTTTCCCTCACAGACTGTGGGTGGCCTTCTCATTTCAAATGCCGTTGTCCTTCTCAAAATGGCAAAAACTCAGATTCAGCAGCTCACGGCCTAAAAACATTCAATGAACTTAAAAGTAAATCTAATCTAATTAAAAGAAAATCCACCCAAATGTTAACATCATTGGAATTATCAGTGATGTGTAGCCTCTTATTTTATACCCTTCTTTATTTTCCCTATTTTCTACAATAAGCTACAAAAAATGATTTTAGAAATAAAAATGTAATTACCAAATTATAGATTGAATAAAATTACCACTAAATTTCACATACCAAATTTAATGATTTTATGTGAACACACTAAATACTAAATACAAATTTTACATTCCTGCACCGAGAGAGCTGCTATAGATCTGCAGAGGGTGCTTAAAAAAATAAGTGACGGGGCCAGGCATGGTGGCTCAAAAAAGTAAATATAGAAATAATAATAAATTTGCTTGGGTGTGATGTCTCACACCTGTAATCCCAGCACTTTGGGAGCCTAAGGCCGGCGGATCACAAGGTCAGGGGTTCAAGACCAGCCTGGCCAACATGGTGAAACCCGGTCTCTACTTAAAAATACAAAAATTAGCCAGGCGTGGTGGCACCCACCTGTAATCCCAGCTACTTGGGAAGCTGAGGCAGGAGAATCACTTGAACCTGGGTGGCGGAGGTTGTTGTGAGCCGAGAGCCCGCCATTGCACTCCAGCCTAGGTGACAGAGCGAGACTCTGTCTCAAAATAAAATAAAAATAAGCCACAAGACGGTTGCGGTGGCTTATGCCTGTAATCCCAGCACTTTGGGAGGCCAAGGCAGATGGATCACCTAAGGTCAGGAGTTCAAGACCAGCTTGGCGAACATGGTGAAAACCTGTCTCTACTAAAAATACGAAAATACAAAAATTAGCCAGGCCAGGCACGAGGGCTCATGCCTGTAATCCTAGCATTTTGGGAGGCTGAGGCAGGTGGTTGGGAATTCAAGACCAGCCTGACCAGCATGGAGAAACCCCGTCTCTACTAAAAGTACAAAAGGAGCCAGGTGTGGTGGCATATGCCTGTAATCCCAGCTACTTGGGAGGCTGAGGCAGGAGAATCGCTTGAACCCAGGAGGTGGAGGTTGCAGTGAGCTAAGATCATGCCATTGCACTCCAGCCTGGGCAACAGAGCAAGACTCTGTCTCAGAAAAATAAAATAAAAAATAAATGATGGTTTGTATGGAAATATCTAGAACAGACAAATTTACACAGACAGGGAGTAGATTGGAGGGGCTGGAAGGAGGTGGGAATGGGAAGTTACTGTTTAATGGGTTCGAAGTTTCTGTTAGGTGTGAGAAAAAAATTGGAAATAAATGGTGATGATTGCACAACACGATGAATGCACTATATGACACTAATTGTACACTTAAAATGGCTAAATGGTAAATTTTGTCACATGTATATAATTAGCACAATAAAAAATAAAAAGTGATGGCTCAGCTAAGGGAGATGTGGTCCAGAACACGGGTCCTCCACGGGTCTTTCCCTCCTGTTGCTGGTGATCGCTAAAGTTAAGCAACTCCCGCCCAGAGAGTTAAGAAGCCTGTTCATCATGCCCCACCGACAGGGACGGGGGTTCTTATCCCAGGCAGTCTGATGCCAGATGTCACCCTGAACCTTTTTACTGCCCTCCACAATGACAAAATTGCGTGCTGCTGATGTCACATCTGGAATGATGTCACACAGGAATGATCTGCAGGTAACGCTGTAAGGGAGGTGCTGTTATCTCTGTTTACAGAGGAGAAACCGGAGCCTGGGAGGAGTCGTCGACTGCTGCTCGGTTATGCAGCCGGTGGGTGGCAAAGCCCCCTGTTCGCGCCCAGGCCCGGCACCTGCAAAGGCCAGACAACGGTGTCAACACTGCTGGCAGATTTAAAATAACCGTCTCAGTATTGAAGCTGGGTCAGGGGGCCAGGCTGGAAAGGCTTGGAGAGGTTTCCAGGGAGGGCAGGATGAGTTTTTTAAATCGACCGTTTGGTGGCTGCTTCGGGCTTCCGCCAAGCCAGTTTGGGTCCTTGGAGGATCTCTCCTCCTCCTGCATAAACATTCACTAGCGGGCCCGCGGCGTCGGGGCAGCGGCGCGGAACCCGGAGTCCTGGCTAGGTTCGCGGACACTGGCTCCCCCGCGGGGCGCAGCTCTGCTCGGCGGGACTCCCGCGGGACACAGCGCAGGGCGGGGGCCGCGAGGACGCGCGGGGGCGGGGCGGGGCCATCTGGACCGCCGCTTGAGGGTGGGCGCGTTTGCTAAAAGGGGCGACGGAAACCGCGCGCCTCTGCTGGATCAATCAAAACAGCGCCTCGGGGACAAACGGGAATGCGGGCGGCGCAGAGGCCCTCCGGGAGGTTTCCGGCACCATCTGTGAGGGGCGCACCCTGGGAAGCTCTGGGTTTGTCCACCCTGAGGCCCGTCCAGTTGTCCAGCCACCCTGTCCTCAGCGTCCCTCGGTGGGGGGCAGATTCATAGCGCCCCGGCCCAGCACTGCTGGACGGGACTTCGGACCGAAAACCTTGCAATCCCCCTATTTTACAGGTAAGGAAATAGCGCCCCTAGAGGAGAAGTAGCTGCCCCAAGATCACAGAACTGCTGGAGCCAGCCGAAAGCCTTCCCCCCCATCACCCCGCTTACCTGAGATGAAGACGCTTCGTCTCAATAGGTAAGCGGGGTGATGGAACTCTGTGCAACGCATGTGTGCAGTCTAGCCCCCAGCCCAGTCACTAGAACCTAGCAGGTGCTTAATAAATGCTTGTGAAACGGAAACGAACTGGGATGGGACTAGAAAACTCAAGTCCTTCATCTTTGAGGAAAGACAGAATTTAGAAATCCAAGAGTACCGACAGTTGTTTAGAGCCAGAGTAGCTGGAGACTGGATGAATACACCCAACCCAGGGACCCTAGACCGCTGCCCACGCAGCTCCACTCCTGTCTGCAGTGAAAGAAAGAACCACTCCCTCCCTCCCTTCTCCATCTCCCGGCTCCTTCCCAAAGGCTGACGGTGAAGTTATCCTCTGAGGGCTTCGCTTTAAAACCTTAGAACTGCAAGGAACTTCCCATTGCCTCTAGTTACAGTCTATGGAATGTTTTCTTAAATGATTTTCATTAAGTTCATTCAATAAATATTTATTGTGCATCCACCATGAACAAAGCCCTATATTGCGGAAACAAGATGTGTGATCCTTGTTAAAATCAAAAGCAAATTTACAACTCAGGAGTCTTCTACATCCAGAAGTATTTCGTGGGCAAACGTTAAGTATTCAATACAGATATACACATAGCAGCTATTATTTCAAAAAGCCCAGGTTAAAAGAGGTCATTCTTGGAGAAGCTTTTTTTCTTCTGATTGGAAAAAACAATTTCCAGGCATAGAGAACTGATCACTGGACTGGGGATGTGTCTGTCCTCAAACCTCTTCCTAGCCAATACAGATAAAACTGCTCTAGGACAACCAAAGAAAGCTAAAGATGTGATATCTGGCAAAACAAGCTTAAACAAACCTCTAGAAAGTCTAGAAAGAATTGGGAGGAATTCAAGATTTATTAGAGCCTGCAGGAAATCAAAGTTCAATTAAGTAATTGAAAATATGGAGACTGGGCATGACAGCTCATGTCAGTAATCCCAGCACCTTGGGGGGCTGAGACAGGTGGATCACTTGAGCCCAGGAGTTCTAGACCAGCTTGGGTAACATGGTGAAACCCTATCTCTACAAAAAATACAAAAATTAGCTTGGTGTGGTGGCACACATCCGTAGTCCTAGCTACTCGGGAGGCTGAGGTGGGAGAATCACCTGAGGCTGGGAGGTCAAGACTTCAGTGAGCTGAAATCTCACCACTGCACTCCAGCCTGGGTGACAAAGACTCTGGAAAGAAAAGAAAGAAAGGTAAAGAAGGAAGGAAAGAAGGAAAGAAGGAAGGAAGGAAGGAAGGAAGGAAGGAAGGAAGGAAGGAAGGAGGGAAGG